AAAAATTAAAAAAAAAAATAAAAGCCACAGCATAGAGTGTGGTAGACAATAGGTAATTTTTGCCTGTAAGTACTTTGGTCTCTCTTAACCCAAGACTCTTTTTTGTGATTAGTGTGGCTGTCAAGCAAGGTTCCGCTCCGTGAGAATGGGGAGGTTGGTGAGAATCGATGGATGACAGAGTGAGGAGTCCCCGACAGTATTTGGAAGAATGAGGTGTTTCAGGGCCTCTCTGCCAGCTGCAGCCAGAAAGCACTGCCCATCTACTTAGGGGGCCTTGTGCATGACTAAGAGTGGATTCTGCCCCCCAGGATAACTGTTCTGGATGAGGTTCTAGGTCAGGTCTTGGTCCAGGCTGGATTCCAGGTACTTTCGTCCTTAGACTCCTCAGGCCTCATAATCACTTAAATCACTGTCCTTGTGAGTTATGTGTCCCCTTTTACTCTCCCTCCCCTTGGGAAAATGGCAAGTGACCCAGTGTGGCATTGTGACATTTAGCTCTACAACCAGGAAATAGAGGCCACCAGAAGTATCAGTTACGGTTACCTCCCATTGTCCGCAAATTGATTGGCTAATTAATATTTTTTCTTGCATTCTCAACTTGAGCATCTTTTTAACTATTCATTTACCAAAAGTATGTTTATTATTTTTTAAGCCATAACCTAACCAGAGTGATAGAAGAGGAAACACAGAAATGCTCTGTCACTTTGTCCGTGTTTGGATATAACAGCAAGCGATGGAGACGCCATTAAGTTGAGAAGGGAGGTCTCAACACGGGAACATAGTACTAACTTGTTGAGCCTCAGCAGATGAATGGGAGACATGAGCTGATGGATGCCTGTTAGCTGACGCAGACACCAACAACTGTTTTTCAACACACATTATCTCTCTTGAAAACTGCAGCTTGGCTTACACTGACTCCGGAGCTGGTCTGTTTTGTGTGTTCAGCCTCTTAACAATAGAGGGAAAGTTACGGTTTTATTTACATCTTTCCCTGAGCAGATTTACACACACACACATCCACCCTCCCCCTTAAGGGATCTGGGGATGTATTACCTAAATGATCCTTACTTTCTGTAGGGTACAAACTGTGGCTTTGGTAATTGGTCTTGATTGTCGAGTTTAGAAGGCCAGGAACATGGTAATTCTAGCCTCCAGTACTCTGCTCAGAAACGTGCACTACTCAGTGCAGCGCTCTTTGTAGCATGTTAATTCGTTTTAAAATGTTAAAAGTTTGAGGGATCTCATTGTTCTCTTACTCTTCTGTGCGTATGATTTATTTAGCAGGAGTATAAATCAAAACATATTCTTGGAACATTTAAGATCTCTTTAAGGTATTTTTTTGTGCTTCTCCTGGAAGTACAGAATACTTTGTATACCAGAGCTAATGACAACAGATCTTGTAGTGTTTCTGCGTCGTAACAGTCGCCACTGGGCAGACAGCTGCCAAACATCTTGCAATTAATCTGATGCACGTTGGCTCTCGCGCTCTTTTTCTTTCAGAACCAGTGCCCTGAGGTGGAGGAGTTGGTCTTCAGCCATTTTGTGATCTGTAATGACACACAGGAGACACTGCGCTTCGGCCAGGTGGATACCGATGAAAACCTTCTGCTGGCGCGTCTCTGCAGTCACCAGTACAGCTGGCGTTCTCACAGGTCCCCGCAGGTATTTGAGAGGCAGCCTTACATGTAGGCACCGCAACCGCGACTGGGAAGGTTGGCGATTCGTTGATTCTGCATTTGTGTGCCTGTGTCCAGTTACGGCCCTTCTGAAGCCTCCCAGGGAACCCCACAGAGTAGCCGCCCCCGACAGAAACCCAGAAGCGTTGAGAGATGGGAGCCCAGTGCTTGCGCGCTCCTCTCGGAAGGGGCGGTCCCCTGGCTCGCCCCGGGGCTGCGGGCGCCGCGCCGTGTGGCGCTCACGCCGGTGGACTCTGGAGCCGGAGCTCGTGGGCTCTGATCCTGGCTCAGTGTAAACCTCGCTTTGCTCGCCGGGCTTCAGTTTGCTCATCTGTGCAGTGGGGATAATGAGAGGACCCGTTTTGTAGGGTTCTGAGGACTAAGTGAGTTACTGTGTATAATGGCGCGAGAATAGCGCTCGAGATACCGTCAGCATTACGCGCTGGCTAGTATTATCTACGCATTTGTTCAGATTTTTACTGCGTACATACTCTGCACCCGGCATGGCCTGGGCACTGGACATGCAGAGACAGGGAAGTCACAGTCCTTGCCCTCCAAGGACAGCTCACAATCTGTGACCAAGGGGGCACTGAGAAAAGACATACCAAAGGATGTCTGTTTTCCAAGGAGTGGAATTCCATTTTCCTGTCACTTTAGATGGGACTAATTAGAGGGATGTGCCCTGCAGGGATAATATGAGGATGAATTCAATACAAAGATGTGGTCTTAAATGAGTAAAAGAAATCCTAGGAAGTCATCTCAAGAATAATGTATTTCTAAAACTCTGGGTAATAAGGAAAGTACTGCTTGTGATTAAAAGAAAGTCATTAGATTAGAGAGCAAGTTTTCCCATCTGGTCTATAGACCAGCTTCAGAATATGTTATGCCCTCGGGGTCCCTCTTGCTTCCCCCCCACCGCCCCGCCCCTACCCAGTAGCTAGATTCTGATTTCTTGCTTGCTTTTTCATCATACTGCCACAGTACTAGAATAAAATTTGGAAACGTAGACACAGTACATTCTTATTTAAGAATATTTATTTAATTCTAGTAAACCTGACAGGACATTAAAACCACATAAATCCTTTCTTAATAAAACTTCTTAGAAAAATTTCTCCGATGAGATGATGTTGTACTCATCTTTTTAGAGTGAATGGCATGCCCTTGTTTTCTGTTTCGAGATATTTCTGTGTTCTTAAGTGGTTTAGTTGTTTGCCCCTCGTAACATAGTTAAAGGCCAGTTTGTTTGTTTGTTTCAAAATATCTTTTTGGGCTTTTGTCTTACTAATTGCAGAAGTGAGAACATACAGACATGTGGCAAAAAAAAAAAAAAAAAAACAACTCCTATAATGGCAACCACTCAGAGACAACCCATGTTAATACTTGTCATATAACCTTTTAGATGTTCAAAAAGTTTCCACAGTAATTGCATTTTCAGCAACAGGAGAAACCTCTGGAAAGGCGCAGCCCAGAGTAGCCATGGCCCTTGGCCACTGCACCCACACCCACACAGGCTCAGGCCTCTGCCCACAGAAAGCAAAATGCAGGAAGCTTACCTCCCCCACCAGTTGCTTTAAGAGGCACAGACCACGTGGCTCTTGGTGACCCTCAAGATTCCCAGATACTGGGGACGCCTGGGTGGCTCAGTCAGTTAAGCGTCTGCCTTTGGCTCAGGTCATGATCGCAGGGTCCTGGGATCGAGCCCTGCATCGGGCTCCCGGCTCAGCAGAGAGCCTGCTTCTCCTCCCTCTGCTGTTCCCCCTGCTTGTGCTCTCTCGCTCACGTGGTCTCTCTGTCAAATAAATAAAATCTTAAAAAAAAAAAAAAAAAAGATTCCCGGATGCGAAGGGTGATGATAAGAGCTCAGGGCTGTGGAGGAACAGGAGTCTTCATATTACGGACATGCGGTATCTGGGTGGGAAGGAAAGGACCAGGAAAGAAACATGGCTGACCGTTGCCAGCACGACACCTTCATATTTTACCCTTTTGCCTGTTTTCAAGGTCTTCTCGTATTTGTTACTAGTTTGGTTTTCACAGTATCCATGTGTGGTTTGTGTTATTTGTTATGCAAGTTATAAATAAGGAGACAAATGGGAAGGTTAAGCTGAGATGGTGGTAGAGTTGGGACTGAATTCCGTATCTTTTGATTCTCAGTAGAATGTTATTTCTACGGCATTGTCCAGCTCTCCTAGGTTTGGGCAGCATGATTTGTCTATTAGAATAGCCAAGCTGTGAGGTTTCAAGAGATAGGCCGAGAATCGCTAGTCTAATACTCCATATTTAAAGCTAGACTAATGTGGGATTCTTAGTCCAAGTAAATCCCTTGCAAAGTCTTAACTTTATTACCAAAAATAAGAAGAATCTTTTTATGACAAACAGGACACAAGACAGATAGCTATTAAACTTTTCTTTTTCCTTATAATTTGCAACTGCATTCTCTGGATACAAATTTTAATGAGCTGTAGTCACTATAATCTTCAGGCTAAAACTTAGATCAGCTTTGTTTAAAAAAAAAAAAAAAAAATGATGTCTCTCTACAAAACTCCATAGGTTGAAGGAAGTGTGTTTTAGAACCCTCTGAAACCAGAAGTCTTAATGGGCCCAGAGCTGCTTCGTGGAATTCCTTGCATCCACAATTGCAAATTCTATTGTGTTCTAATGAGAGGTTACATCTGAGGATCGAAAAACTAGCCACTTCAGACTGCACCTGCAGGTAGTCACAGACTTGCAACTGAGCAAACTGTTGCTTTTTTTCAGGCTCCACGTCATATCCTGCGTTGCACAGCAGGCTTGGTTTGGGGAACATTTGTGTCTGCATGTTTATGCTACCTTGGGTGTTAGTCAATTCATAGTCTCAGGGAGGATTTCCAGAGTTCATAGAATTTAACTCCACTAAACAATGTAGCTTATATTGCAGAAATCGAGAAAGTGGCAAGGACAGCTGGAAAGGTTTCAAAGAGGTCAGCATATCTTAGAACCACACAGGAGGTTGCTAACAACAGTAAGTCCCAACAGGATGGGAAGAACCATGGACACACCAATTCCAGAAATCCAAAGCTGATTTTAAAACTGAAAAGTTGTAAACTCTCCTTATAGTTTCTAACACATGCTCTGAGGCGGAATCACTAAATGCTGGATATCCCGTAACTGTTGCTTGCCTAAACAAACAAAGGAAGAACAAAACTAATTCCTAGGGAATAGTTGAACATACTCAGCTGCACAATCGTATATGCCACCACAGAGGGCCCTTAAATATCCCAGGTCAGTAGACTTCAGATCAAGTTGGATGAGAACAGTAACTAGCAAGAGACTGGTCTTTAAAGAAGTGCTTCATATTGTATAAAGATGAATCTAAGGACTATAGGTGTGAGTTTACAGTATCTTTCCCCAGAATATGGGTAGTAGGTGCAGCTTAGGGTCAAGGAAGGTTTTGTTTAATGTAGCCAAACTGAATATGGGGACACTTCCATCAACCAGGAGGATTTGTGTAAAGGCTGTTCAAGTTGACTTCCTTTCCTGGTTAATAGAGAGCACTGTTGGCGAATTAAACTTGAAATAGGAATGCCTCCACCTTGTATGTAAGGGAATTGCATGTGCTTTTATCCTCAAAACATGCACAATTTATAGATTGTACATTTTTTTAGAATTGCAGAATTCCAGCTACCAGTGACTTAATTTCAGTAATCAAACCATCTAGCAAGGTGAAAATGGGCTCTAGACAGAGCTATAGAAAATAATAAAATATTGCTCCACGATGGACATAACAGAAAGTTTCATAAGCTCATGAAAAATGGCAGATATTTTAAAATGCAAAATGTAACAAGGTAAGAATTTTGAAGAGCAGCAGACCATCTGGGACATACTCATTAAAGTAGTCAGATTTAGTGAAGAAAATAGAAAATCGTATAGTACTCCAAGGCAGAGGTTGGCAAACTTTCTCTGTGTAGGGCCACATAGTCCATATTTTAGGCTTTTGGGGCCTTCCTGGCTCTCTCACAGCTATTCCTCTCTGCACAAAAACAGCCATAATGAAAAATGTGGCTGTGTTCCAATAAAACTTCATTTATAGACTATGAAATTTGAATTTCAGTAAGTTTCACACATCACGAAATAGTATTCTAATTTTTTTTGACCATTTAAAAATATAAAAACCGTTTTTAGCTCACAGGCTGTACAAAAATAGGCAGTGCACTCCATCTGGCCCACAAGCCATAGTTTGCCAGTCCTGCTTGGAGACCTCTCTGTTGACAAAACTCAGTAGACTAAAGGCTTGACGTTCAGTTTTTTCACTCTGACCTAAGTGATATTTCTATCACTTGAAAACTTGGCAAAATGTTTCAGAAATGAAGAAGTGACAGGTAATAGTTTAAATCCAGCACATACAACCAACCTGTACTCACCACATAACGGTAAAATATGTTTATTTTACCTCTTCTGGGCTTGTATAGATAGACAGTTCTCCAGTTCACTCTTTGTATGTAAAAATATTTTAAAGTGAGATCTGAGCATTTTTCCTCTTGTCTAAAGGGATAGTAATAGGTTTTGAGTATCTACCTATCTTATGGTGAGTCCAGCCAGTTGTCAATTTCGTTAACTAGACTGTAATTCTCATTCACTTCACTCTTTTCACATCCATTTACATAATGCATATGTATATACATATCATAAAGAAAGAGCACATTCCTTATTGTCACAGTCACAGTTTTAAAAATTTAAAAGCAGACTTAGGGAGACAAGGAAATATTCTATGTTGGCAAAACTGTTTAAAGTGATAAATTTTTCAGGGGTTTGCCTCTGCTATTATATGGCACGTGGCATGCATGTCAAGGTTTGTGTAGAAGATACAAATGGAATTAATACTTCCTTTCTAGAAAGCAACTTAATAAGCACAAAAGCCATTAAAATGGTCTCAGCCTTTGATTTAGTAAATCCCCTACTAGTAATCTACTCTCAGGATATAATACAAATTAAAACAAAAGTTTATACACA